GGTGACTTGGTGATGGGAAACCCGTGGGGATTACAATTGAGATGGAAAAAAAAAATGTACAAAATGATGTAAAAATAAACTTTTGTAATAATAAAAAAAAGAAGAAGAAAAAAACCAGGCTTTTCCCAAAAAAAATTATCTCACAGTGGAACTAGGGTGAACAGAAGCCCCACAGGCTTCAAGAGAAACTGTTGCCATAAAATTAACTACCTAGAAGAAATATGCAGATTTAGGGTCATGACCAGAAAATAAATTTTTCAGAAAAACCTTTCTTATGTCATGGCAAACTTCATCTAGTTTTGTCACATGAATCATACTTACCTTATCATGTGAGACTCCCTCCTCTCTCTTTGACACCCCAAGTCCCTATCCCATTCATTAGCTCAGAAATAAAATCTTTGGTCCATCCTGTTTACTCTGGAATTTACAGCCATGTCAATTTTTTCATATATATGTAGTTAATTTTTTCCCTGTAAGCTGGTGTTAATTTGTTTGTTTGACTAACCCAAGAAGACCTAAAAGGGTGGGGGAAACTAACACTATTCCCCTTTATAGCTATGGTTATTTTAATGATAAGTATATACGGCAGTTGATTATGGCTTAGTGCCCTAAGAAAAACCTTTGTTAAATAGAATGTGGTGTTTCAGAAGATTAGAAATACCACAAAACAGTATTTTTGTTTGAGGAAAATTAAAGAAACATCAAACAAAGTAATAGATGCTCATTTAACTCATTTATAAAGAAATGAGTTAATACCTTCCCACAAAGCCATGGACGTCATCATAACTGTCATATATTTCAACATAATCTGCAAAACAAGCTGGGTCATCTTCAAGGTCAAATTCCAAAAAACTCAGATGAATGCGCTGACCATACTTGAGTCTAATGTGCCAGTAGCAAACTTGGTTATCATCATACTCCTTCGGGAAGCCTGGAGATTTAAACAATCTCTTTGGCTCAGTGAATACACCACCACATTCCTTTGCTAAAATGGAAAAAAGTAAAGAAAACATTAGAAAAAAATATTTGTGCCTTAAAATAATAGTCAAACCTTAGTGTATATAGTTAATATTTTTAAAACATGAAATAGTAGAGAAATGCCTTAATATATGCCATTCATAGTATATTATGTATACTTGTAGCTAAAGAATAAATGTACTTTTGCATCAAAAGTTGCTAACTTCTCTAAAATGAACATAAACTCATCTCTTGCTCATTTAGAAAATGCCAGATTCACAGAGTTGATTGGGTCCTTGAAGACTGTTAATTGGTTAAAAAGTTATTCATATAAAATCACTTAACATCATGTCATTGAATCAGCAAGTTATCTTCCTTTCTTTCTTTCTTTTTTTAAATATTTATTTTTTATAAATACAAGAGCTGGGGTATAGGCCAGAGGTACAGAGAGGTGAGAGGATTCACCAGAGGGATTTTGGGGAGCAGAACAGGCAGATCTTACTGTTCTTGCTTGTTCTTGCTCCCCCCCCCCCCACACATCTCTGGCCTATACCTGAGTTCTTGTATACATAAATAAATATTTGTTTTTTAAAAAACAATCAAAGAATATATCTGGAGATAAACAATTACTTTTGAGAGTAAGAAGAAAAAAGAAGACAGGATGAGAGAGAGAAAGAGGAAAAGAAGATATGTGAATTATTAGCAATGACTGTAGTACAGGCTAAATAAGCTTAGATGTGATCTGAAAGATATGATCTCATATAAATGCACTGTAAATATTTATTCCCATTTTGTCTTAAGTAGGACTAGTTGAGAGCTTTAGGCAACATTCTTTTCTACTTGGAATACACAATATTTTGTAATATAGGTAGTTACAAACGTGAAAAATTTCTGCAATGATTAAAACATTGAAAAATAAATGCTAAAATTTCACTCTAATCTTCTACTGCATTATAGGCTTCCCCCCAACCCCCACAGGCTAGATCCAAATGAACTGCCACTTCAGTATGTTTATGATTATAAATGTAGGAAAAATTTCCTAACACATTGTAATACTTTGTGACATTGTCGTGGTAGTAGTGGTAGTGAATCTATTTTTTTCTCTAAGAACATAAACTTTATATTAATTATAATGAGTTAATTTTTCTCTAAGTTTTTTTTCTTGCTACAGTGAACCATGGAACAAGAATAGGAATAAAAATATACTTTATAATAATAACTAATATATTTGCTATAATTGTTAAAATAAACCATAGCATGAGTGTTGCTTAGTTTGAAAGTTTAAGAATTTGTACACAAAAAGAAATTAGAGAAAGTTTTTTAATTTTTGTCTCATTTCCCCCCATTCTATTGAAGAGATAATTTCAAATAAGAATAATTTCAAACATTTGGTTGTATCATTTTATTGCTTTAACTAACTAGCTGTGCCAAGTTTATAACCTCATTGTTTCCTTTTGTGGAAAAGTTATTTGGCACAGAAAAATTGAGGATTACTTGAGAATTTATGAGGTCATCTGCCTACTAATTATTGCCTGTCTGATCTTGGGTGAGTTACTTAAGCTCTAAAAGTTGTAGTTTTCTGATTTGTAAAATGGGCATAACAATACCCATTTGTGGAGTTGTGAATATTAACAGTTTAGATGAACATAACTCAGTGTTTGGCACAGCACAATTACTCTATGAACAGATTTATTATTATCATTATAACATTGTCTTACTCTAGAAGAAGTTATTTCTTCTTAACAATCTCTTAGAAACATGCAATTGTGTTTACAAAGTGTAAAATTATATCAAGCAAACCATGTGGGTTGTAGCAATAGGCATCCCATCTCTCACTCCTATTGAGACGGACTCCATAATCAATAACGCCAGTTTTTCCGAATCCACAATTTGGCCCTGGCTTCACAATGGGATATCCAACTCTGCCCTTGGCCATCCACCCAGCAGCACAAACATGAAATCCTGCAAGAGAATGAAAGGGTTATGGGCTTGTAAGGCTATCTCCCTCACGTTACAAACATCCTCTTAACAAAGACAGCCCCTTCCAAACCGAGAAAGGTAGTTCACGTAAGGGAAAATTAGTTTTCTTAAAAAGTAGATAAAATTGGCCCTCCCTGGTGGTGCAGCAGGTTAAAACACTGCACTACAAAGCTAAAGCCACTTCAGTATGATTTCGATACTCAGTCATGGAGGGGACCCACATGGTGCAGCAGACCTCTTCTGACCTGCCTGCTGCTCCCCTCAGCAGTGTACTTTGTCAATCGGCCTGTTCTGCTCCCCTATCTGTCTCTGGTATACCCTCTCCCTGCCCTTGCACCTCTCACCTAGACCTGAGTTCTGTATACATAAATAAATAAATCTTTTTTTAAAAAAAAAGAATTTTAGGCCCTCCCTGGTGGCGCAACGGGTTAAAGCACAGCACTGAGAATCTGAAGCCACTTCCGTATGAGTTCGATTCCCGCCTGCCGCCTACCCCGGAGGAGACCACATGGCGAGCCAGACCTCTCCTGACCCGCCCGCTGCTCCCCTCAGCAGTGTACTTCGTCGATCTGCCTGTTCTGCTCCCCACTCTGTCTCTGGTGAAGCCTCTCACCGCCCCTGAGCCTCTGGCCTGTACCCCAGTTCTGTATGAATAAATAAATAAATCTTTAAAAAAAAAAAAAAAGAATTTTAACACATATTAAATATAACATCCGACTTTAACTAGAAATGATGTCCTACTTGAAGAAAAAAAGATGCAGACAACTAGAAATAAAACTGTTATGGATATGCAAGCAGTCTGAAATTTAATGCTCACTTCTTTTCACAAATGGCTTGTCTAGTGCCATGGGTAATTTCTGAAATTACCATCAATACTGGAAAATTTCTTCAAATGGCAATTAACTAATTTCTATTTTAGAATCAATTGAAATATTGCTAGTATTTTGAAAGACTTGCATAAGGAGAAAAGAGAAAAGCACTCATAATTTCAAATAGTTTCAATACTGTTTTCCTTGCTCAACTTCAGAGTCTGATTTCTTTGGCAAGTCAATGCCTTGTATGTGATTTCACTATACACCAGGACAGTTAGAAAAGACTCAGACTGGTGTCTCCATCATTCCATCTACTGTGTCACACACAATCCCATGGGCATAAACAGAGCTGTCATCCGGGGAGACTTTGGAGCATTATAGAGAACACTTTAATTTTTTCTTGGGTATTGTATTATAAAAGTGTAAGCTTTGCCAAAGATATTTCCTCAATAGAGAAGCGAGTTGTGAATGGAATGGCTTTTTGGATTGTCCTGAACATCCAGGAGAGTTAATAGCACCCTACTTTTTATAATGAAACAAATAGCACTAGTTAATTACTGGTGTTTTCACCAGGTCTCCTGACATCACCTTACCAATTTTTTTTCTACTGCTCTCTTAAAATGGCTTATACTCTTTTCTTCACAGCTTTTGATCCTGAGGTATCTAATTTAATGTAACAATAGGAAAGTTTAAATAAATGGGGGAACCCCATTAACTATATTATTTCCTTTACCAAGTAAGTTTCCTTGTTAAGACTCAGTATAGTAACTTCAGGAAATGCATTCTCAGATGTCAACAAGAAATATTATTAAAAATTAATATTAGGGCCCTCCCTGGTGGCACAGCGGGTTAAAGCACAGCACTATGAAGCTATCCGCAGGCACCACAACCACCACAGCACAAGTTCAGTCCCTGGCCAGGGAGATGATCCATAAGGCATGGCTGACCTTCCTCAGCAGTGTGTTTCAGTAGATCAGCCTGTTCTGTTCCCCACTCTGTCTCTGGTGAGAGCAACTCTGGCCTGTACCCTAGCTATTATGTGCATAAATAAATAAATCTTTAAAAATTAATATTAAATTTACTATTTAAATGAATAGCAATGACATTAAAATTGAGGAATTTAAATGATATTGAGATAATGATGTGTTCATTTTCTTTTGACTTTCATCTTATTAGTACCAGGAACTTTCCGTTAGCTCTCAGCAGAGAACACTGGAATCTGTTAATGGGCTGTTATGTTATAAAACTAAAGAGAGAAGTCTTATGAAGAGGTTACAGGAAAGGCTGAATTTTTCTCCAAGGTGGAAAGAAAAAAAAAAAGGAGAAAAAAAAACGTTGTCACATCAGTTACCTATTTTTCTAGCTGCCTCTAGTTGCTTATAGGTGGCAAGTCGGCCACCTTCATATTGACACACCGCCTTTGCTTCTGCATAGGTGAGTTTGTATTTGCCAGACCGTGCTTCTCTGTGGTAAACGCCCGCTGCTCGTTCTGTGAATTAACAAGTTATGGTAAATGCATTATTATCTAGTGTTGTGGAACAAGGGAAAATTTTTTTTAATAATATAATAGTTTATTTTTACATAATTTTGTTCCTTTTTCTGTCTCAGTTGTAATACCTGTGGGCTTCCCATCACCAAATCACCCGTGTGCCATCACCATAGTCAGTGCCCTCCCCCCTTCATTTTTGATCCCATTCTCCACCCCACCCTCGGAACAAGGGAAATTTTATGGCCCCAGCTGGAAAATTACATCAACTATTGTTCCTGTGGGAGGGTTTCCTGGATCTGCTTCCGTGGGTGGCTAAGTTTTCATTGTTAGAAAGCTTTTGAGGAAAATAGTAAGGGGAATTTTAGGGGAATTTGGGAGCATAGTTTGAAAAGAGGCCAAAGTAAGTTTCTGAATTGACAATCTGAAAGAAAGTTTTAACAAAATATTGCATTTCTGTATTACCCCAAAGGTGATTGAAAAAAAAAATTTTTAATACAGCAGCTCTCAAACCCCTTTCTTTAATGTACTTACAAAATAAGTTTTTTAAGGAGGCTTGTTTTAAGTCATAAATATACTTAAAAGATAAGCAATAGCTAGCCCTCCCTTGTGACGCAGCGGGTTAAAACACAGCACTGAGAAACTTAAGCCATGAGTTCGATTCCCGCCTGCCCAGGAGGTGACCATATGGTGTGGCAGACCTCTCCTGGCCCGCCCGCTGCTCCCCTCAGCAGTGTACTTCGTTGATCTGCCTGTTCTGC